AGGATATCCACAATTTTAATAAGGGATATTGTAAGAGGATTACACATACCCTTGTATGAAAGGGTGGGTCGCACAAGATGGGGCGACCGTTTATAGGTGTATTTCACAAGTTCGTGTAATTACACAGTGGTGTGGCTACACCGTAGCAAGAAGCCACCACGTGGAAGGATTGCCAGTAGTTATGCATATTAGCAAATTAACTAGGTTTTACTCAAATGATAAGGTCTTACTATATTAATTAGGTTTAACTTTATTCAACAGGAAAAGCTAGGGTTTAGATATTGGCGGCTCTGCCGAAACTAAAACAATTAAATACAGTTTCAATTTTGTACAGAGCGTCTTTACCCTGGTTAAGGTTTAGTACTTGGAGGTAGCGGACTGCGATCTGCTACACACATACTGGTTCTTGTAATGAACGTGAGGTCGGTGACCTTAGCTCAGCTTTCTCTAAGCAAAGAGCTACGGCAGCCCCGCTGCATGCGTAGTCAACACGCTTCGATAAAGCTACATTGGAGTTGAAATTCTCCATATTTTCCAAGCTTCTACAGTGCAAACTTGTTGCTTTAAAAATGTACCACCCCGCCGATGCGCGATGTCACTGTTGTGACATGCGACAGTTCATACTGTGTGAAGCGAAAGCGCACCGCCACCACACCCGCTCGCTACACCTAAAGTGGCTTCTTGTCATGAAAAGAATAAGTTTATCTGCCACTCGAAGCTGCTGGAACTCAGAAAGCAATAGCGCATTCATATTCATCAATACCTGTTTGAGGTACAGTACAGCTTGAATCCGAAACCGAAGCATCAAAGGAGTGCGTGCAGCGGGGCTGCCGTAGCTCTTTTGCTAAGAAATGCTAAGCTAAGGTCACCGACCTTACGTTCTAGTACGAATGTAGTGCTTCGCAATCCGCTTACTCCACGAGTAACTACAACCTTCACCTAAGGTAAATTAACTCTTTCAAAATGTAAACTGTATTTCTTTTGTTTTATTTTCGGCAAAGCCGCCTATATGTAAGTCCTAATTAAATAGTAAAACCTAATCAGAATGCATAATAATCCAGCCACTTATACTTGAGGTGTCGCCACACCATTGTGTTGTCACACCATCTTTTGTGACCCACCCCTTCATACCAGGGTACGTGTAACCCGCGTCAGAATGTTTTACGTGATAGAAATTAGTATGGCTAGCACTAGTAATTAAACCAATCGATACAATAAGGTTGGACGTTTTCAATAACATTTGGGTGACAGCCCAGTATCTGTACCAAATTACTACTTCCTCTGTCCGAAAATATAAGCGGTGCTGCGGGGATTGACCAATGTTAAGCTCAAATTTGACCTTTTCTGCTTGCTTACTGGCTAAAATTGACGGGTCGAGCC